CCTAAAGAATGGAGAGTATACAGGGGTCCCTCCCCTGAACCTCAGGATCTTAGTCTCCCTCCCCTAAAGCTCCCACTGTGACCATTCCTTAGCTGTCGTCTTCCAGAGAGCATCTGTGCTTAATTACACAGATAGCAACACACGGTATGCACTGTTCCACATTTTATTCTTTCTTTTAATTGCTAAATTCCTACCTACAAAGGAATCACTTATATGCAAAGTATATGGAGTAATAAACATCTGTGTGCCCACTGGCAGTGCCGCCGGAACCCTGCCCCCCCACCCCCGGCTGCCCTGGCTTCCTTCCCACTCCCGTGAGGTAAACACTCTCCCACGTTTTGTTTGTAGTTCTCCTGCTTTTCTTTATTCTGTTATGATGTGTGTATGTGCCCCTAAACGATACGCTGTTGAAGTTTGCATGCTTGTATATTTATTCTCTGGCAACCTCTTTTCATCCAGCATGTTTTGTAAAATTTGTATTGATGGATTTTCCCTATAAACCCTATGCCACTGTCAGAATAAACCAAAATGTATTTATCCAATCTCCTATTGATAGACATTTGCACATTGCTTTTACCACTAAATGTACTTTACAGATCATTCCCTGTCAGTATGTATATATTTTACAACATCCCTAGCGACGCTTGTTTATTCTGTAATAGGCAATGCACGCACATGGTTCCAAATTCAAAAAGTATAAAAGAGTAGAGTAGTAAATAGTGTTCTCACCCCACGTCTCCTGGCCTCCCAGGCCACCTCGGAGGCAGTTAGTATTCCCGTTGTTTGGTGTATGCAAGATAAACGGAAGCAAATATCTATTCTGCCTCCAGTCTGTTTTCTTTTACTTGATGGTGGCCCACTCGACCTACAGTTCTGTACCTTGCTGCTTTTTACTCAGCCACTTGTTTTGTAGGTTGTTCCGTTTCAGTGGATAAGGAGCATCCTTGTTCTTTTTAATGACTATATATATTTCCATATTCCCATTTCTAGTCATGTGTTACCTGTTGGTAATGCTGCAAAGCATATCTATGTACGTAGGTCTGTATACGATGTGTGAGTGTATCTGTAGGTGAAACTTGTAAGTGTAACATTGCTGGGTTAAAGGGTATGTGTGTTTAAAATTCACACACATATTACCAGATTGTTGTTGTTGTTAAGTGCTGTTGCGTTGATTCCAACTTGT